CGAGGACACCTTACGCCAAGGATGACACCCGATCTAACAATTTCGCCCGACGCGACGCGGCGAAAAATTCGTCGCAAACCAAGTCTGCCAGCTGGCGAAAGTCGGACGCATCCGAAGCCAAGATAGGAGATGTCGACATTGTGGAAATGCCGGACAGTGATGATAACGAGGGCAAAACAAGAACCACCAGGTATACCAGAAACAAAGATACCCCGAGGACGGGATATCGCGATAAAACACAGCCACGCCAGACCGAACGAGGAAGAAACCTTGCGGCAATCACGGCGAACGGCGAAAAACAACACGGAGAGGAAACCGAAGAACAATCTTCGGAGGAGAGCGAGCAAGAGTGCTGTGCAATAATGCGACAGCCGGAGCAAAGGGAGCCGGGCGTCCCAAAAGTCAAAAATGACGGGGAGCCAAACGATCCGAAACTCAGAGATGACGGGGAGCCGAACATCCGGAAGACCAAGGATGACGGGGAGCAGATCATCAAGGAAGAATCAGCGAAAGCGATGAATGCCATGTACGTCAACACAGACGACAGTGACTATGTGCCACCGAGTCCTGAAATAGTGCCGAGAAAATCGAAGCCGCGAGCGAACCGAAACGAGGTGAACTACCGTGAAACCGACAGTGATAACGAATCCGTAACAATCGTCGGTCCGACGAAGAAAGTGACACCGAAAAGTGACGACAGTTGCGAAAGATCGAGTAAATGCACGGGAAAACGCGTGAAATTCGATGATAAAAACGCGTCGCGTGATGAATCGCGTCAAGCGAACCGGCAAGTGCGAGCAAAAACAGTCACGCGAAATACGACCAACGAGGAGTCCAAATACGAAAGTGCGGGCAAGCGGAAGGAGAACGGGGCGAAGAAGACACCACGATCGTCGAGACGAGTGATATCACCAAGAAAAAGGCGCGTGAGACACTTTCGAAAAGCGACGAGGCACGGAGAACACAATTGTATACGATACGGTGTTACACCACACGAGCGCCAACATAGCGTGAGTGCTGATTGTGAAAAAGCGAACAAAAAAAAAGACATTGCCTGTCGAAAAGCGCTGAGCGAGACGAGTAAAACGAGCACCCACACGAGGGGTATACGAGAAAGTTTTTTCGGTGCGAATTTCGACAAGTGGGGCGAGAGCGACGGTCGACTGCGCAGGTGCGACGTAAGAGTGGGGATAAACCACGCAGACGCACGAGTGGGGCAGGAGCGACGATCCGCAGAGCCCATTAGCTTCACAGCTAGCAGTGAGAGCAGATCGATTGCGACTTCGATGATGGAAGGAGATATGAACAACCGACCAGTCGAAGTAGTTGAACAGTTGCCGATGGATGTCGGGGAGGTGGAGAATCAACAACCACCCATGATACCCAACCCACCCGAGTTGATCGATAACCAGCCGACGGGGATGGTGGACGACGACGAGCGGGAACCAGCCGAGGTAGAGATCATCCAGGTGATCGAAGCCAAGGAGGACAAACCCAAGCCGAAGATAGAATCGACAGGAGCAGAACTACCTGAAGACGAACTACAGCAGCCGAGCGGCAGCAACCGAGGCGGAATTATGATAGAACAACCCCAGCCGAGCACTAGTCGGGGAACAACCGCAAAAATACGAGCCTCAATGACACAGCGGGGACAAGAGGTTAACTACGCAGAGATGGAAGAGTCAGAGCTGCTGAAGCACATAGCTTGCGGTCTCGCTGAAGTAAAGAAACGGCGAGAATATCAACAATACCGATACGCCATGGAGGGACAAGCAAGAATGGTAGACGAGTATCTGGCAAATACACCACCTGCGCCAGACCTTGCAACACCCGAACTATGCGAGCTCAGGAACCAAGTGCGGAAGGTTATCCAAGAGTTGGAGAAGAATGAAATTTGCCGCCGACGACAAGTTCAAATGGTAGAGAATTTCCGCGTACCTGATCCGACCAACGACGGGGACCAAGCATTGGTCACATTGCTGGCCTCAGTAGAGTGGGGATGCGCGAAGGAAGAGGAACGACGGCCCTTTAAAATCATGCTGGAATTTAATCCTGACGGGGCGTACGTCGAGACATGCACGGCAGAACATAATGAGGAACGGGCCCGGCAACCCACACAAAAGGACGACGGGACTAAACAATCAACCGCGACGGGCAAATCAACGCCGAAACAAAAGGTTGAGGAAAAGAGATACGAGGCCCAGCCTAAAGGAATGGATGACAGCGACGCCGAAATCCAATCAATTTCGAGCGAAGCCCTTAAGAAAAGGCCACCCACACCGGGAGCGACACTTATGCAATCGAGCAGCCGCCCCGAGAAACGTTCCCAACCGGAGGGGAAAGACGCTACGGAAACAGCGAGCATGTATACGATACAGATAGACTCAGTATCCGAGGCGGAGACAGTGATAGTACCACCGAGGGCCACAGCGTCAAACACGTTCCAGCACCCGACGAAACCGAAGGAGCAGATCGTGATAGGGGTGAGCGAGCGGAAAGCAGCGAAAACGGCCAACGAGCGCAATCGCGAGCTCCAAGAAGCGGAGAGACGCGGGACAAAGCGCGAGAAGACGGACCGTCAACGACGCCGCGATGAAGACAAGCGCCGCGCCAGAGCGAAGCGCCACAATCGCGAGGAGAAACGAAGCTTGACGCGGGACGAGACTTCCGGCGCCAAGCTGACGGGGAGAATGCGACCGGGCACTTCCCTACAGCCGCGTCGCCTGATTAAACAATCACCCCGGGTAATACTGCGCAGGTTACCAGATGCGGAGCCACGCGCGGCACAAGAAGAACGAGCGGTGGAAGGAGCGCAGCCGCCTCATGCAGACCCGGCAGCGACATCCGTGCCGAGGGAGACCGAACTCCCATGCATGCCGCCCACGCCGTTGATGTCGGCACTACAGTTGCCTGTAATGACTCCCGCGCTTCCTCCGCTTACAGACTCGATCGCGGAATTCATAAATTATAAGTTCCCGATCGGTCCGGTGGAACAGCCTTCCGACGACTTCGAGTCGCCGTCGGGAGAAAGTGAGAGCGAGGATGACGAGGCCTAGAAGCCGGTGTAGGGAGAGACGGCTCGTCAATTATCGCATACATATATACAAATACACGTTTTGTTTCCATTTTTTGATTAATCTTAATTTAGTTTAGACAACTTGCGTGACAGAATTGTCAGTTACTTTATTTTCAGTTTATTTTCATTGATGCCATGAGAAATATTATTTTAGGGTTACACTTACTGCGCTTCTGAATAGTATAGAGTTAAGTTGTATTGACAGCCCATACGGCTTGATAGATTTAGTTTTGCGTATCGTTAAAACACAGGATCGGCAAGACGGCAGAGACCGCACATAGATTTTAGTTTCGAATTATATCCGGCCGATCGGTACAAAACCACGTTCAGTTCATAGTTTAACTTACCGCCGATCGAAAAGGTCTGATGCAATTTAGCGATTGT